AAAAAATAACTGCTTTAGAGCAACGTCTCTCTTTCAGAAACTAACAGCTGAGTAGCTAATGGTAAGTAACTACGTTGTTTCGAACAACTGCGAAACGACGCATCTCGATACAATATAGTATTTGTAACGTTTCTGATACTCACCGTAAGCGCTTGTAGGGTATAGTAACCATTAGCATCAGTTTCTGTTATCTTTTTGCCCTGCACAATCACTTCAGCTCCAGACACTCCTTTTTTACCAACAACAACCCTCCCTCGTGCTGTGAATCCACTTACGGAGAACGAGACCTAAACAAATCGTTACATTCGACACTTTAAGGAAATATGAGCAAGGTTTTTAAAAGGAACAAAGTACATAAAATCATGACCAGGTTGGACTACATAAACGACTTCGTATAAAACAGACACTTTCAAGATGCAGTTTCATTTCAGGATGCAGACGCCGAAAACAGAACTTCCAATGGTATTACAGTAGGGTATTTAAAAAAGTTCGGCTACACTCACCGTTGTAGCACGATCCTTCACGACCAGCTTCTCCACCGAAGGCTTGAACTGAAACTCTGTGTCGCCATTTTTGTATTCTGCCGTTATGAAATATGTTCCCGACGGTAGGCATGGTACCACGACACGACCTTCCGCTGATGTCGCACCGATCGAGCATGAGAACTTGGCAGTTTCGACACCTTTTACTGACGACACGGCCTTGCAGTTGCTCAACTATAATGGACAAAGTTGTTCTGATCGAATAATAACTGCCTATTTACTAGGAAGAGATACGATCTTGATACCGCAGGTTAACTGGATACATAGTCAATTTGAAACCTTAGAAGTGAAATGAACTTTTCAAAGCCTGTGGGGAATTAGAAGAAAATATTAGACCAAAAATAACCCGGTAGTGCTAGGAACAATTCAACGATATATGGAAACAAAATTTCTCATGAAAGAAAGCCTGTCCTTAGAAAAACGTTGAGCCTTCGGAGCCGTTCAATGTATGCAGCGTATTCTGCACTAAGCAGAAGATTAGCTGCAGGTCCAGTTTAGCGTCAAACTGGTTGGTAGTTGTAATAAAATTCACGAATGAAAATTCTCTTCAATCTCCAATCAAAACCAGCAAGTGCAAGTGTGGCCTGACAGAAATAAAAACAGAGAGAAGTAAGTTGATAGCGAAAAAAAGCTCGCATAACAAAGCAATTGTAAGTTTTACAAGAGGAAGTCGACATACCTCCGGCTTCACCTCGGAATACAAAGTGAGGCGAACATCAGTCAGCGGCTTTCCTTTGTTCGTGACAGTGGCCGTGAATTGGTAGCCAGCTATGCGTAGATCCGGCTTCACAATAACCGGAGCATTTGTGACCTAAAAATGTTAATATTGAGAACATCTTAGATGAATTCGGCCCAGCCTTATTATCAGGCTCGTCGAAGAGTCTATCACTATAGGATTTAAATAGAATACGACTTTACTTTAGTATGTGGTGCAATGTTATCTATTTTCACATCATTCTAGTTACCGCAATGTTCTTGACAACGGTAAACATTACACAAAGCAGTTTTTCATCCCATGGACATAACACTTTCACACAAACAGAGTCAACGTGTGAAAAGCAAAATCTCATCATTTATTCTCTCAATACATCAAATAAACAAGAAAAAATTTTACGAATTTTACTAATTTACGTATGAATTTTACCCACGAGATTCGTTAAACACCTAAGGACATACAGAGCTGTGGTCGTCAGAGAAGAAGAAGGTCACAAACCTCAACTAAGGCCTTCCCATGACTGATACATACAGAAGAATCTGCTCCTGTAGATACTTCATACTTTCCTATAAAGTAAAAATGACCAGTTGAAATGTGAGAAAGGGACGCTTTATAAAAGCTTCAACCCCATAACATTAAGAGAAAAAAAATCAACGCTAGAGTTTCGCCTGAGCTACCTGCAACTGCTTTGAATGAATACTTTCCTCCTTCGACAGTTGTCGCCGTATCTACGACTTTGCCATTCTGTTTGAGGGTCAGCGAAAGCCCTGCTGGTCCAGTTCCTGTACCCCCATTAACGATTCCACTG